TCCGGGATCCGGGCCGCCAATACCCTCGGGGTAAATGGCGTCCGAGTCCGGAGCTGGATGACGGGTTCCCCGGAGCCCTCGGCCACCCTCTTCTGTAACTCCTCCATTTTGGCCATCATGGCCTCGTATTTGAGATCTGAATGAGGGGTGGAGGTGGTGGCGTGAGCTTTGTTGGACTCCATCTCGTCAAGCCGGCGTTGGAGGGCCGCAATAATCTCGTCTCGGGGATCCTTCGGGAGGGTCTCCGCCCCCTGCGAACGAACCCGGGCCGAGTGGGCCTGGTTGATTTGGTGCCGAGCATCATTGGCATGAAGGGGTGCCTTGCCTTTGTCCCGAGGGGGACGCTCCTCGTCTGCCCTCGAAACAGATCCCCCGCTTTCCTGGGGCCTTTGGAGTGCTTTCCCCCCGAGGCGGTCTTGGACCCCTCGGCGGTCTGGCCCTCCTCCGAGCCGGTTGAGGGCGGAAGTACGGGGCCTTTCCCTGTTGTCATTATGGCGGTCCCGGGACTGAACTTCCTGGGAGGAGGTTTCTTGGGCCACCACCCCTTCGTCGTTTCTCACCCGAGGGGTGGGATTTCCGAAGGGGTGTGGCAGAGGGGGAAGTATGATATTTTCCCCGATCTGAGGGTGAGCTGGAGCCAGGGTGCCGAAGGCACCCGGGTTCTGGGTGAGCGTCTGGATGAAGGCGGAGAGCGCCGATTGCACGTCGATGGTGAGAACCGGAGGGCTGACTTGGTCATCGCTCCGGTTTTTCTTCTTGGCCTCGATGCCGAGGCGGGCATCGGGGGCATTTTGTTGGATCTGAAGGCGTAGGTCGACAGCCGCCTGTTCCAGCCCAGCGATGACACCGCCCTCGGGAGCCCTGTGAGAGGCTTCGGGGGCGTTGACGTCGCCGAGGGCCAGGTTCTTGTCTTCTACGTTCTTTGAGTTGGCACGTGTTGTCCTCACCATTTTGATAGAGGGCTAGTGTTTTGTGTTTGGTCGAGGGGGAGGGTTTCTTACTTGATTGTTCGACCTCTCAACGAGAGCACCAAATGATGGATAGTCTACCCGGGGGTATATATCCGAAGGGTTATTACGGGGAATAACTTAGAGAGAAGTCAGAGCAAGTAAGTAAATGTAGAGAAAGAGTGTATTCAGTATGAATGCCGTTTTCAGCGTGGTTACAAATGAGGAAATGGGGTGCTATTTATAGTAGCAATAAATGCCGGGCAGGGACACGTGTCAAGCGCTTATTGGCCGAGGGGTCACCTCAACTGGTTGGCGCTGGCAGCCGCATGTGGCCGCATTTAATACGGCTGTTGGATGGGACGTCTGTGCGGGGTACGGTGATCTGTACGCATGTGAGGCGGATATCTTGTCGAGTGAGATGCCTTCGGCTATAGAGCAGTAGCCGAGGGCTCTTCCACTCGATGGTACCCTGGTGCCGAGGGCTCACAGTGCCGAGGGCTACTGTTTTCGCCGTTTTTTCCCAGTTTCTTAATTTGCTTGAGAAACCCGTTCTGTGAGAATTTGGAGCCTTTGGCCAGGGGGCCGAAGGCACCCCTGGCGCGTAGTGCGGACTGCTTGGTACTCTGGGCGCTGTGGTTTGGGCCTGTTGGGCCTTTTGGGCCTTTTGGGCCTTCGCTGGAGTAGTAGGAGTCTGTGGGCCGGGGGTTCCCGGGCCATATACTCCATCACAGTTACATGTTTATAAAATAATCAAATGTTTGAAATTAAACATGGGTTTAATAATACTAATTAAACACAAACAAAGAAATGTGCAAAAATTAAATTACAAAAGTGCAGAACCTGTTAGTCCCATATGTAGCATCGAAAGAAAGCACATCTCCAAAAAAGGCGTAATTCTTTCTGCAGATTGGGTCAGCCCAAAAAAGACGTGTCAATTGATCACTCTCATCAACGTCATACTCAAAAATATATGCTGAACAAGTTTCTTGCTTCCGAAAAAGCTTATCAATTAGCATTTGAGCATCCAAGCCAGAAATATATGCCTTCAAATCTTGCTTAAAGTTCTTGAAATCAACCGACGTTGCACCAATATTGCAATATCCTCCAACAGTTTCCTTGTACAGCCGGTATGATTTCATAGTTCCTGTATTAGCCTTTGCACAATCGAGAACAAACTTCTGATGACCAAGATCAAGCTTCCTATTTACTTTAAGAAACGGTCTGACATCAAGAGACGACATAGGATGATTGTGGCGCTCTTCAAATAACGTAATAACATATCCCTTAAGACCATCGAGTCTTAATCTTATGTGTGCTTTACAGCCAACACGGTTTGATACACGGTGATGCCTCTGTTTTTTTTCTCGGTGTCGGGAATAGCATGGGAGGATTCTGGATGCTCTGGAAAAACGTGAGCCTCTGCATCATTATTTGAACATTCAGTGTGTTCATCACTAACAACACTAAAAGGCATAACACGACTAGTTTATGGAGGATTGACTTTAGCAAAAATTTTGAAACCAGCTCTATTGCACACAACATATTTCCACACAATGGTGTCCGTCCTCGGCCGGCGATCCTTAGTTTGAGAACCAATACGAGAATCGAAGCCACAACAAGCTGCATACTGCTTATAAAACTCAATACCATCCTCAAGGGTTTTGAATACCATGCCAAGCTTTGGTTTAAATGATTCATCACATTCCGGGATCCAATACTTGGTTAATCCAGGAGAAATTTGTAAAGCTTCTACAAGAGTGAAAAAAAGAAACATAAACGATGAATGCCATTGGTTCAAGAAAACAAATGAAACAAAGAAACACGTAGAACAAAAGAAAGAAAGTTAAAAAACATACCTTTGTCCATTAATGGAGCTTCAGAGTTTTTGGGGAGGAAGAGACAAAGAAGCTGGAATTCATGTACATGAAATGGCCGGATGGCATCCATAACTGAAAAGGAAATAACTAAGACTTAATTAATTAACAAACAATAATGGAAAGAAATAATGGAATGGGTCTTGGCCGGATACCTACGTACAAAAAGGAAAGAAATGTCACAATGACCATCATGGCCTGCCCATTCTCACGTGAGAATTAAAAAAAATGAGTTGATCTAATGGCCTGGATTGTTTCTTATTTATATCATTAGATGGTGTTCTTATTTGAACCAAACTCTCTCTCTCTCTCTCTCTCTCTCTCTCTCTCTCTCTATATATATATATATATATATATATATATATATATATATATATATATATATATATATATATATATATAGAATAAGGATCAAATGAGAATAGTGCTTATCGTAAGAAGTGAGAATGCATCTGGTGCGTTCAATTTAAGATCTGTGCATCAGATTAGCAAAAAAGTGCACGGGAAAGTGCAAAACATATTAAAAAAGTGATGCTAGACGCGGTGGCATTTCCGTAATTAATTGGATCTTTTCTGCCATCGCAAAAAGTGCATCAGATTAGCAAAAAAGTGCTTCAGAAATAGGTAAATGTATAACTTCTCACTTCTCACGTTAAGATGTCTTCTCATTAGAACCCGACCCTATATATATATATATATATATATATGAAAAAGTGTCACGTACAAACGTTATAGTGTATCACATTGAGTTAAAAGTGGAGTTTTCGCGTTAAACATGGTTCTCATTGTATATATATACATATAGGGAGTGGTTGCAATGAGAATACTCCTTATTGTAAGAAGTGAAAACAAATCTTGGTCATACATCTTAGTAAATTAAAGGTCAAAAAGGGTTTAGATACATGGATGTATGGTGGGAATGCAAACATTGAAAAATAACTTTGCACTATACAAAGCAATCACTATATAAAGCAATCGTAGCTTAAATAAAGGACATTAGAGTAATTATAAACAAACCATTTAATATGGTAACGGATGGAGAATTCCACTTTCCAAAAAAATAGGTTAAAAGTAAAACTCAAATCATATAAAATGCTTTTATTTTAAAATTGATTTAACTTTTTAAAATATAATCCAATTTCATACCAATATTGCATGTATATTTTTTTTAAAAAAATATGTATACAATACACCATAAAAAGCATCTTCAGCTATCGCATACAGAAGAACATATATCCAACGCACAACAACTAATATATATTGCACACGAAAAGTAGTATTTCACAGACAATTTGTGTAAAAAGCACCAAAACAAGTATTTCGATCACAAAAAACGGTATCCAACACACAACCATTAAGAACTAATTTCGAACACCTAAGGATTTCATATAAATTAAACTATTATATAATACACATGAACTAGTATCTCCAATACAATATGTATATACAATATAAAACTCGTATCTACAATATGAACTTTTTGTTTTTTTAAATGCACCGCAAAATATGTTAAGTTTTTCAATGCACAAGAACCATTACCCAATGCATAACCATGAGTTTTTATTGCACATAAACTAACATCTAACACAATCTTTATATAATATGCACAGGAACCGGTATGCACCGCACAAGAAAACAAATCTTAATTTAATATATGATTTAAAAACCATAATTTAATGTACGAAAATAGAGTTTATGTAATACACGTGACTTAATAATTAATGCACAAAAACTAAAAAGGTTTTTAAAAATATGAAATTAATATGGTTATTAATACGGAGTATCAAATAAATGAAACAGAAAATTGGTAATGCATTAATTGCTTCCAATGTCAATTTTGACATTATATGCCACATGCAATATGTGTGATGACACTCCGGAAAAACTCTTTCGATAGCGATACACATGGAAGGGTCTTGATATGCTATAAATAATTTGGGGTGGCAGCCCATTGCATTACAAAAATGCGTCAATAGCCAAACATAGGATGCGACATCCTCCTTGAGTAATAGGCCAACAGCGAAAGTAACACATTTTTTATGGTTATCTACTCCGGTGAATGGCACAAAAACCATATTGTACCTACAACATCACAAATTCATAATATACAAATTAGTGCACTGTACAAGAACCACTGTGACGCAAAAACATTAAAATATGCTACACATAAGTGTTAACCTGTTGGTTGCGTAAGTCGCGTCAAATGAAACTACATCATCAAAACAAGAGAAATTCTTCCTACACATAGGATCAGCCCAAAACATCCTCGTCAATTGATCACCTTCATCAACATGGTAGTCAAAATAATACGCAGGGCAAACTTCCACCTTACTAAATTGCTTGTCAATCAACATTTGGGCATCCACTCCTTCAGTATAAGCCTTCAAATCCCTTCTAAAATTTTCAAAGTCTACAGCTGGGGAACCAATATTATTATAGCCACCGACACACTCCTTGAATAATTTATATGATTTCATTGCACCAATATTAGCTTTGGAACAATTAATCACAAAGTTTTGGTGGCCAAGATCAAGCTTTCTATTAATTTTGAGAAATTTTCTAGAGCTATCAGAAGTCATACATGCGGTGAGTATGTCGCTCTTCAAATCTAAACATAGAGTACTGCCCAATTCTGCATATTTAAAAACTATCAATGCATTACGCCCACTCCTATTAGACACTCGTTGCCTTTTACTTGAATTTGATGAAGAGCCTTCTTCATTTACAACATCAGTCAAATGAGCTTCATCATTTACTAAGATTGGTGCACACGTTCTGTACGTGAATCCCAGATTGTTGGGGTGTGTTACTTTCTGGTTTAAAACCCTCACGGCTACAAACAACATACTTCATCAAGAGGGTACCAGACTTATGCTTTTTCGATGTAGAAAGACGAACATCGAAACCACGTATGGATGCATATTGAACATAAAAGTTTATGCCATCGCGCAAACATGGAAAAACTTGATCAACAACTGGCTTGTTATCACTTTTACAATTAGGAATCCAATATCTCCTGTATACCCGTTGTGTCACCTACGCATACAGAATGAATGTTAAATAAAATAAAATAAAAAGCATTGGACTTTTCCTTTTATTTGTGAATGCAATCTAATTTAAGTATTCTATCGATTGTTTTTACAGAAAGAGTAGAAAGAGTAAGTAATTACAATAGAAGAGAAAAACATACAAGCTTCCATGGGATTGAAATGACTTAGAAATGACACTTCACGATTGATAGACTAAGTAATGCAAAAGTTATCTTAATATCATCAGAATTAGTATTAAGAATGATGGAGCCAGAACTTTTTTGGGGAAGAGAAGATTTAGTTATGATTTGCGGCTGATTATACGTTAAGACCCCAACAGAACACCTCTTGGAGGGGTTCTGTCCGAAGCCAACAGAACACCCCTCGGAGGGGTTCTGTCCGTAGCCAACAGAACTCCCCTTGGAGGGTTTCTGTTCGAGGCCTTCTGTCCGAAGCCAACAGAACCCCCTTGGAGGGTTTCTGTTCGAGGTCTTCTGTCCGAAGCCAACAGAACTCCCTTGGAGGGTTTCTGCCTCTTGAGAAATAGATTTTTGGACGGCATTCGTGTCCGCAGGTCGCCCGCGCACACGAGTCGCGGTTTTTCTTCTGCGTTTCGGGATTTGATCGGCACCCCCCCCTGCGCGTAAGAGAGAGCCTTTCCCTTTAGGAATCTTAACTCCTTAAAAGAGGCTTCCCTTTTAAAAGGGGGTGAAAATCCCTTGAGTTTTTCGGTGTGGGATAAAACACACTAGAAACTCATCATTTTCCCAGTTTTTCCATTACAACGAGCGAACTTCGAGAATCAATTTCTCATTCACCCGTTATCCGTTTTGAGCGTACCATATATCGAATTGTAGCCCTTAACAAGGACAATCCGAAACCACTTTGACCCGACCCAAATCGGAAGTGGACCCCACTCAAATAATTGCCCCAAAATGACCATTTAATGCAATTTTTAACACATTTTTCCAACAATCCCCCACATGAATGAAAATTGATTTTCGAGACTTAAAAAGACACGAAGATAGGAGGACACGTTGTGTTCACCGGATGATCCTTGCATACGGAGAGGTAGGTTTTATCCTTTGAACCTTCCGTTGTAAAGACACGTTTATTTACTGGCTGTCTAGTAGACTCGATGTCCTTGAACTATACTGCCGTCGTGTAAACATTGACTTATCTTTACACAAGAACCTTCCAACTTTGTTCCGTTCTCATGGGTGTGCCCGTTTTGGCCATGGGTCACCGTCCTGGTTCTGCAAGAGTTTCTAAAGAATTGAGCCTTTACAGTTCTCCTTCGAAGCGGCCCTCTTCTCTCTCACATAGGTGATTCTTTCACGAGTATCCCGCATACTCTTCCAATGTTATCGAGTAGATCAACATTTTAGAATCATTAAAGCAAACGTTTTTGCTAACCTCGTGCGGGAGTCACTGTTTTTAACGAGGAGTGGTTAGGAGTCCGGGACCCCCACAGTGACCATCCTTCGCTCTATAATTTAGTTGTCCCTTTTGAACCTAGGACCAACTAGGTTGGGTATCCACTATAGAACTTTTCAATTCACGGGCTTTAGTCCCATTCCTCGTGACAACTTCTCCAACAATTCTCTATCCAATGCCTTGGTTAGCGGATCCGCTATGTTATCCTTTGACTTCACGTAGTCAACAGTGATAACACCCGTTGTGAGGAGTTGTTTAATGGTGTTATGTCTACGACGAACGTGTCTAGACTTACCATTGTAGAGATTGCTCTGTGCCCTTCCAATTGTCGCTTGACAATCGCAATGTATGCATATTGGAGGGACAGGCTTCTCCCAACTTGGAATATCCTTGAGAAAATGGCGTAGCCATTCAGCCTCTTCAGTGCACTTATCCAAGGCTATTAGCTCAGATTCCATCGTGGATCTAGCTATTAACGTTTGTTTCGAGGATTTCCACGACACGGCTGCACCTCCCAAAGTGAAAACATATCCACTTGTGGACTTAGAGTCCTTTATGTCGGATATCCAACTAGCGTCGCTATACCCTTCAAGTACAGCTGGATATCTTCCATAGTGCAGTCCAAGGTTTTGGGTTTTACGTAAATACCTCAAAACCCGTATTATTGCCTTCCAGTGTTCATCACCGGGGTTGCTAGTATATCTACTTAGCTTACTAACCACAAAGGCAATATCAGGCCTGGTACAACTCATTAGATACATCAAACTTCCAATAATCCTAGCGTATTCTACTTGAGAAATACACGCTCCACGATTTTTGGTAAGATGAGTGTTTTTATCTAAAGGCGTCCTTGCCTCTTGATAATCATCCTTATTAAATTTAGTAAGGATTTTATCAACGTAATGGGATTGGCTTAGCGTTAGACCGTCAGGTCCTCTAATTATTTTAATCCCAAGGATTAAATCGGCCAGCCCCATATCCTTCATGTCAAATTTAGAATTTAACATGCTTTTGGTAGAATTAATCATTAGGTTATTGCTACCCACGATGAGTATATCATCCACGTATAAACATAAAATGACATAGCCGTCTACCGTGCTCTTCACATAGACGCATTTGTCACTTTCGTTTATTTTAAACCCATTAATTAACATTGCATGATCGAACTTTTCGTGCCACTGTTTAGGGGCTTGTTTCAATCCATACAATGATTTAATTAATTTACACACTTTCCTTTCTTGGCCTGGAACACGAAAGCCCTCGGGCTGTTCCATATAGATTTCTTCGTCTATATCGCCATTTAGAAAAGCGGATTTTACATCCATTTGATGAACTTCCAATTTCCGCAATGCGGCAATTGCTAGTATCATCCTAATGGAATTTATTCTCGTCACAGGAGAATATGTGTCAAAGTAATCATGGCCCTCACGTTGCTTGTATCCTTTGATTACAAGTCTGGCCTTGTACTTATCGATGGAACCGTCCGGTTTCATTTTCCGTTTAAAAATCCACTTGGATCCCAAAGGTTTATTTCCCGGAGGAAGATCAACCAATTCCCATGTGTGATTTTTAAGGATAGAATCCACCTCACTTTTGATGGCTTCTTTCCACATAGGACCTTCAGTAGACGTCACGGCTTCCGTATAAGTCCGTGGCTCATTTTGTACCAAACATGTTAGAAAATCCGGTTCATTTTCTACCATACATGTTAGAATATCTGATTCAAATTCTACCAGGTAGGTGAGAAAATCCGGTCCGAAGGATTTTTCGACTCTAGCACGTTTGCTACGTCTGGGTTCGGGTTCTTCTCCGGATCCCTCGCTAGTATTTTCCATAGCTACGTCAAATGTTCGTTTTGACGTGCTAGGCCCTTCGTTGGACTTGCATGGAAATACATCTTCAAAGAATGAAGCATTCCTTGATTCAATTATTGTGTTTTTATGTACATCCGGATTATTCGAATCGTACACTAAAAACCGATAAGCACTACTATTTTGTGCATACCCAATAAAAATACAATCCACCGTTTTTGGACCTATTTTTATTTTCTTAGGTGTTGGTACAAGCACCTTAGCAAGACACCCCCACACTCTTAAATATTGATAGGAAGGCCGTCTGTCTTTCCACAACTCGTACGGAGTTTTATCATATTTTTTCCGGGGAACCTTATTTAAAAGGTAATTGCTTGTCAAGATTGCTTCGCCCCACATATTTTGTGGCAAGCCCGAACTTACTAGCATCGCGTTCATCATATCTTTCAATGTGCGATTCTTTCGTTCGGCAACACCGTTTGATTGAGGTGAATAGGGTGCGGTACGTTCGTGTACTATACCCTCACTAGCGCAAAAGTCACCAATTGGTGCTTCATACTCACCACCTCGATCACTCCTAACCGTCTTAATCCGTCGATTAAGTTGGTTTTCCACTTCATTCTTATAAAGAATGAATTTATCGATTGCTTCGTGTTTATTTTTTAATAAATAAACGTAGCTATAGCGAGTGCTATCATCGATAAAGGTAATAAAATATTTATTACCACCACGTGTTTGTATTGATTTAAAATCACAAACGTCACTATGAATTAATTCAAGTGGTTCCGTTTTTCTTTCAACTGATTTGAAAGACGTTTTCGCTAGTTTTGCCTCTACACAAACTCCACATTTGTGCTTCACATCAATTGTGAATTTAGGAATGTGCTCCATGTTAATTAATCTACGTATAGAATTAAAATTAACATGTCCTAGTCTACCATGCCACACATTAGAAGACTCAAGCAAGTAAGCAGAAGGGATTTTATTATTATTATTAATAATAGTCATTACATTGAGCTTAAAAAGCCCATCACATGTATATCCCTTGCCCACATACATTCCCGATTTGGACAAAACCAGTTTGTCCGACTCAAAAACCATGCGGAAGCCATGCTTGTTCAACAACGAACCGGAAATCAGGTTTTTGCGTATTTCCGGAACAAACAGCACTTGGTTGAGAGTCAGCTCTTTTCCCGAAGTCATCTTCAGGACCACCTTGCCCACGCCTTCAACCGCGGAATGAGCCGAGTTACCCATCCACACTTTCTCACCATTTGATGGCTCAAAAGTTGTGAATAACTCCCGATTTGAGCAAATGTGCCGGGTTGCACCGGTGTCCACAAACCACTCCTTGGAATTGGATCCAACGAGGTTGACTTCCGTTACCACAGCCGCTAGGATGATGTCTTCGTCCTTTTGCCCACCTTGCACTAAATTGACTTGAGAGTCTTTCTTCTTCCGTGGTGCCTTGCAATCCGAGGACTTGTGTCCATTTTTATTGCAATTGAAGCATTTTCCGTTGAACTTTGTCTTGGAAACGCCTCCCTTGGGACCGAGCTTGCCCTTCCCATTATTTTTATTTTTGGAGCCTTTAGCATGCTCCACTACGTTGGCCTTGGCGCCATGAACAATTGGGAGTTTCCCATCGTTCTTCCGGTTATCCTCTTCAATCCGCAGACGGAGGATCAATTGCTCCAAGTTCATTTCCTTTCGCTTATGCTTAAGGTAGTTCTTGAAATCCTTCCAAGCCGGCGGCAATAAATGGATAATTGATGCCACTTGGAAAGACTCACTAACTGTCATTCCTTCATCTCGAATTTCGTTGAAGATCATTTGCATCTCCTCAACTTGACTCAAGACCGTCTTCGAATCCACCATTTTAAAGTCAAGGAATCGACCAACAACAAATTTCTTTGCGCCGGCATCCTCGCTTTTATATTTGTGGTCCAAAGCATTCCATAGCTCCTTAGCCGTAGCTAATTTGCTATACACGTCGTACAAAGCATCATGCAGCCCGTTCAACACGTAGTTTCGGCAAAGGAAGTCAGAATGCTTCCAAGCTTCAACCGCGTTGAAAGATTGCGCATCCACCTCACCCCCGGTTGCTACCGGCGCATCTTCGGTCAAGAATCTAGCAAGACCGAGAGTAGTGAGGTAAAATAGCATCTTTTGGTGCCACCTCTTGAAGTTTAACCCGTTGAACTTCTCGGGTTTCTCCACAGAGTTGCTTGGCACGGTCACCATAGGGATAGCCCTTTGGTTGGCCAAAGCATATACACCGCGTTGTGAACTATTGTTCACCGGCGCTCCGCTTTCAGAGTGATTGTCGTTCAGAACATTCTGCCCAACACCAATCTCGTTTTCAGAGTGATTGTCGTTCAGAGTGTCCGCAGGTCGCCCGCGCACACGAGTCGCGGTTTTTCTTCTCCGTTTCAGGATTTGATCGGCACCCCCCCCCCCCTGCGCGTAAGAGAGAGCCTTTCCCTTTAGGAATCTTAACTCCTTAAAAGAGGCTTCCCTTTAAAAGGGGGTGAAAATCCCTTGAGTTTTTCGGTGTGGGATAAAACACACTAGAAACTCATCATTTTCCCAGTTTTTCCATTACAACGAGCGAACTTCGAGAATCAATTTCTCATTCACCTGTTATCCGTTTTGAGCGTACCATATATCGAATTGTAGCCCTTAACAAGGACAATCCGAAACCACTTTGACCCGACCCAAATCGGAAGTGGACCCCACTCAAATAATTGCCCCAAAATGACCATTTAATGCAATTTTTAATACATTTTTCCAACAGTGATTGAGTAAGAAAAAGGTAAATGAAAGTTAGTCACACAAAACTTTCCAAAAAGATAAATGAGAATTTTTTTGGGGACATCCCAAAAAGATAAATGAGAAGAATTTTGTGAGACGGAGGTAGTATAATTTTGAGAAATGTGATTAAAATACTTGATATTTTAAAGAGTCCAAAATACTTGATGAATTGAAGATTGAAAATATTCAGGGATCTCTTGAAGCCCATGAGCTAAGGATTCTTGAAAGTTCAACAAATAGATCTATAGAACAAGCACTTCAAGTACAAACCACAAGAGAGGTGGTTTTACTAGAAGATGTGGTTCCAGAGGTAGGGGAACAAAAACAAGATCAAACCCTCTCACACTACGTCAAGATACAAATAAAGATGAGTATGAAAAATCTTCACAAAGAGGTGGACACAAGAAGTGGAGAGGAGGGAAGAAAAGAATAGTCAGGACCAAAATCACATGTCAAGCACCACTAGGCCAGTTGTTCTAAAGCTTTGTAGGATAAAGTTTTAATATCTTTACAAATTCACAATGAGTTAACAATGAGTTGGCAGTGCAAAAATGTAAATTTGGACAGTGAGATTTCTTTTTTGCTTTATAAAAGCATAGGTAGTAGATTAGACATAAAAGCCCCCTGTCATACCAACTAAACCTCATAGAATTTTTTTACTCAGTTTATATACTTAAGTTATCATGACATTAAATTATAGTAACTGCTAGTCATAATTGTGTAAATAAATGTTATGTTTTAATAGTTTTGAGAAAAATCCTATTAGAAAACATCACACATAAAAATAACTTTTCAAATTTTCATTAGAAATAAGTTTCTCAAAGACACAAAAAGTATGTTTACTTACTACAAAAAGAAGAATAAAAATAGAAGTTGATTGATAAAATAATAATATTAAATAATATGGAGTACTTATAATATTTCGAAATTGTACAGCTAATTGATTGTAGGATAAGGTTTTAATATCTTTTCAAATTCACAATGAGTTAACAATGAGTTATAATTTTTTGAATTCATACCAACTAAATACCACACGGTGACACCGAAGAGGCGGATCCCCTCGTTTCTAAATATATCTACCTATGTATAAATGTATTCACATGGATTCCAAAGTGACTAAACATTACCAAATCCGGATTTGGCAAGTCCGACTCCCGCATTTAAAGAAACTCATTAAAAAACCCGTATATTTGCAGTGTATTTATACATAGGTAGGGTAGGGTTGTAGATCAAAGACATTCAATTCGGGTCCTTGTCGAAGCCCTTGTCCGTAAACTCATTAAAGTATTCTCACCTGAGGCAGATATACCGGAAGCCCTTGTCCGTTTTCTTCTTCCTGAAGTCAGCAAGCCGAAGATCGAGACGAAGCCCTTGTCCGTTTTCTTCTGCCACTCATTGCCTGCGTCAGCCCGGCAACCCTTTTAGAACACTGCTACGTGCTCAAGAAGTTATCATGGCTACTCTCCCTTCCCAAGAACTGCTGGACGACCTTTGCAGTAGGTTTGTTTTGAATGTTCCAAAGGAGGATTTACAATCTTTTGAAAGAATTCTTTTTCTAGTGGAGCATGCCCATTGGTTCTACGAAGACAATTCAGTTGAGAACGATCCATCCCTGAAATCTTTCACCCTTAAGGAGTTTACTTCTCTTTTGTTCAACAGCTGTAACGTTTTCAAACCATATGCTGCCCATATAGATGACATCTTCGAGGACTTCATGTCATATAAGATTCGGGTTCCTGTTACAGGAGCCATAATCTTGGACGAAACTTATGAGCGGTGCTTGCTAGTGAAGGGTTGGAAAGGATCAAGCTGGAGTTTTCCTCGTGGGAAAAAGAACCAGGATGAAGAAGATGATGCATGTGCTGTTCGAGAGGTTTTGGAGGAAACTGGGTTTGAAGTGTCAAAACTTCTTAAAAAAGAAGAGTACATTGAGATGGTTTTTGATGAGCAAAGGGTTCGGCTCTACATAATCGCCGGAGTGAAAGATGATACAGTCTTTGCACCGCTCACAAAAAAGGAGATTAGTGAAATTGCCTGGCAGCGACTTGATGAGCTCCAGCCAGGAATGGGTGATGTCACGTCTCGTACTTCCAGCGGCCTCAGACTTTATATGGTTGCTCCGTTTTTGAAGTCTTTAAAAGCATGGATTTCTGCCCACCAGCCTCCGGTAGCACCTAGACCTCATAGATCCTTGAAAGGATGCAGCGTGTGGAGGGCGACAGGCCGAACTAGAACAATTTTTCAAGGGGGGCTAAAGCATAAAGAGTGCCATGTTTGGTGATTAGTCGTTAGTGGTTAGTTAGTTGTATTTACTATTTTGACTAGCTGGTGTACTTAGCGGTTTGACCAACGGATTGAGTTAGCTGATTTTCTTGAAGTGTTTGGTAAAATTAGATGTTTGTGATTAGTTTTGGGAATGCAAAGATTCAACTAAAGTATGTATGAATTGCGAAACCATGCATTCATGTACTATCCTCCATATCTCATTAATTGCAACATCGGAATATATACATTATTCATGTATTTTACTTTGACTACATTTTATTTATTAATGTATGTGAATTATTTTTTTTGAAAAATGTTGTTAAATTCATTTCATTACTAAGTTTTATAATCTGATTTTTATTTTATTTTTACTAATACAGAACTAAATATAATGACGGTCAAAGTTGTGCGTTGGCAAACATGAAATGTTGACTGTTGCAACTAAAAAGAGACGGAGGAAGTATTAATTTATACAAGATTCATATAATACTGAAAATGTTTTTCTTTGTGCTATTTTTATGAATTGCGAAACCATGCATTCATGTATTAAAGTTTTGGTACGCAAACTTAGTTGCTGGGACAGTACTCATGCATTCATGATAGTATGATAATGTGCATGGTTTCATAATGTGTCGATCAAGTCCAATTGTGATATTGTTTAAGTTTCTTTTTTAGAATCATTCGGCTGTGAAACAAGTTCATCCGGCAATCGAAAGTTGACAATCATTTTGCAGGCTGCTGCTATCAACTGCTTGATTGCCGCTTTATCCTCATCAGCTTTCTCAACACCAGCCAAAGACATGCTTCTCTCAGAGGTGACAAAAGGTAATCTTTTTGCTGTCCTGCCTGACTTCTCAATGCGAACGGGGAGAAATCAATATTATTTCTGTGTATGTTTAGATTTAAGCGGCATTGGTCCATCACATGCCTAAACTGAGACAGAATGCACGGCCCAAGTGTCGTGCTTTGTTACCACTATGGCACTATGTCACTATGTGTGATAACATATTCACACTAACCCGTGAGAGGGGAGAGCTTGTGTATGTGCTACAGTGCTACTAATAAGATTAATGATAAACACTTCAAATACAACCTAAAATAGCCATGCATTTACTGTAATTACTTTGCAGGAAAAGAGCTGATGATGTGTGTTACAGAATTGGTGCCTAGACATCCTAGTAGGACAAGAAGCAAGAGCCTCCATCATCGTCATCCTCGGCAGCCATCGGCCCATCACAATGTCATCTTCCAAACCCCAACCAGGAAAGGGTGGGAAAAAGAATCGATAGTACACAAAATGAAGGAGCTAAAAGTGTGTTGTTATTCATTCATCAAATATGCAATGCAACGGAATTTATCAAATATTTCACTATAAATAAAACGTAGTAATAGTTACTCTAAACCTGTACACTTACATGGTCGTCTGATTCTGATGAACAATAAGCATCAAAAAATGAATTCCATAATAACACGTTGTATCTGTAGCTGAATCTTTGTTATTATTTCCATCATTACATGAGGGTACGGTACAATACAATATGAATGATACTGGTTTGCTACAGACATGATCACCATCAAACGACTTCACCTTTGAGGAGGAAACAATGAAATATATGCACATTTAGGCACAAAAAATGCTGAATTAGTAGTGTGATCCTATCACATATGGGCACCCAACATACTTGAAGTCAAGGACAAGCCAACCTGATACGACCTATGGATTTTATTAGCAGAAACAACTTTGGGCAGGTCTCCTTTGCTTGCATCATGATCACCTACCAAGGGGGCTTGTTCTTTTGTTGTTTTGTCCGCTTCAACAATGAACTGAAGTCCCTGGACAAGCAGCACCCGCAGTTTCGTCAGACCATGTCCATAATAACAATTTAATACAAACAATTCAGATAGCATACCTTTACTGGATTATTATTTGCAGGAATCAATTTTGAATGCTGTATTAGCTTAGCACCAACCTCCTATACCACAAGCAGAATAAACCTTAATTACGAGAGCACGTTGTGGAAATGGGGATGATATGAGTATGGGGTTTGACCCTTGAGTAGATGACTACGTGAAAAGCAAATTTGACCTCACTTTTTTTTTCTTGACATTTGTAGATCAATTTTAGATACCACCATACTTTCAGGAAAATATATGTTCTTTATTTGCAAAATATGTCCTAGTTACATTTTTTACATATCACCAAGTTCAGCAACCAATTTCAGCCACACTTTCAGGAAATAAGATATTGATATTAAAGAATAATTACGATGGGGTTGTGTCAAAAATATTACTAAAAATGAGCATTTGACATAAAAGTGACCATTTTTTCAGTTTCCAAAAATAAGACTAAAAAGATGTTAAGAGACTATTATACCCTTCCATCATTTGCAATGGAGCCAAAGACTCACTATTTTTTGGTTTGAGAATATGATGGAATAAAGCAAAATGGTTCGCTAAATTGTCTGCGCTTCTTTGTTATGAAGCAGCAATCAGTCAATGTAATTTTCGACACGTTTTGCAGTATGGGTCATCCGGAAACAGTCTTTCTGTGCTTTAATACAGGGGTAAGACTGTGTACATCTAACCCCCCTACCCAACCGAAGGTGGGAGCCTTTGCGGCACTGGGGTAATGATGTTTATGATGATGATGACTAATATAATCTCACTCACTAGTGCTAAAATGACGCAGTAACCTAAAATCAATCAGTGACGCAGTAACCCGACCTGCCAATTACAGTTACCCGACCCACCAGTTAGTTACCCGACCAAATACAGTTAACTGCTCTGATGGTGACCACCACCTCCGGCAACCCACCGCCACCATCCACAGCCCCCTGCCTCACCGAACCCCCTCCCCTGAGTCACCCCAGTCCCCAGCCTCGTACCTCACCTAACCCCCTGCCCCATCACCACCTCACAAATCCGGAGACTCCAGTCCAGCCACCGTCCAAGAGCCCCATCCCTTGGTCAACCCTGTAGCCATTGCCGATAGCCACCGGCCGGCGTCAAGACCCTAGCCGCCATATAACAAGTGCATTTGACTCATCATATGTTTTCCGGCACAAACTATTATCGCCTTCAACGTCTCAATTAGAAGCGTCGATTTCTCAATTCCTAGATTTGAGAAGCCATCGTTGTTCATTCACCTGATTTGAGTCGAAACGAGAAGATGAAGGCGATGATGGTAGACAGATGAGTAGAAGAAGAAATGAAGAATGCAAACTGATATGAACAGAAAAACAAAATCAACAGGGTGAACCGTTGCCTAGATAATCAACGATAAATAAATACTGTTGCCCAGAGCCAAAAGGCTAAACCACTTTTATTCCCAGATTATCAAGAATGAAGCATACAAGGGGTATAAATAACCCTCTAGGTCTAATAAGAATAGGTATCCTAATTAAATTAATCTAGGAAACTAAATAGAATAGGAAACCTCTAGTTCTAATAGATAGTTCTAATAGAACTCCTGATTAAATCATTCTAGGAAACTAAATAGAAATAGGAAACCTCTAATTCTAATAAGAATTGTAGTCCTAAATAAATCCTACTAGGAAACAAATTAAATTGGGAAACAACATAAAAGGAATGATAAATATTAATTAAAAAGCCCGCAACCAGCCCACGAAGGTGGGCTCAAGCCCGTCCCGCCTTCGGTAAACCCACAGAGGCTTCTGCCCCTCTTCTTCCAAGCCCAGATTCTACTTCATATCAATTCCATCCCCCTTCGAAAAAACCTTGTCCTCAAGGTTGAAATCCGGAAATCGGCTGACATTTGTTCCTGGTGGCTGACCAGTATCTTTAGGAAAAATTGAGATGTACTCCTCCACAGTCCCTGTCTGCTTGCCTCCGGACAGCCGTTCAAAGCAATTGCCCTTAAACCGTGAGTCAAAACGAGCCCCCAATGCTTGTGTAAGCTCATCCCATGACATGCCCGGCTTTCGTGCCCGTAATGAGGTCAACCGGTACAGGGCTGACCCTTTCATCACAACTACAGTGGTTGCCACCTTCTTTCCCGGCGGAGTACAGCTCAGTTTGATTTGATGCTCAGCCCTAGCAACCCAACTGATCGGGTCTTCTCTGTCAAACAAGGGAAGCGTCGTGAGAGAAGTGTTGCACAGTCCAGTTCCGAACGTGGATGTTGCTGCCGCGTCAAGTGAGCCATCACCGATGAATTCTCCTCCGCCGCTGGCGGCACGAGAGCCTTTGTGAGCGCAGTCAAGGAGGAAGTGACACTGCGCGGCTGTCCATCGCTGATGGGCGCAAATACGGTGGGGCTGCCAACCGCGTCAGGGCTTGTTTCCGTCGTGACTGGCGGAACGAACGCCTTGGTAAGCGCTGATCTCTGCCAGACGCACGCCGTGCTCCTCTAGGGTTTGATTCATCCGAATTTGCTTGGCCACCATCTCAGACAAATGTTCACTGATAGATCTCGTCATTCTGGCAGGACGGGATCCGGCAGGTCGGACCAATTGATATGAACAGAAAAATAAAATCAACGGGGTGAACCGTTGCCTAGATAATCAACGATAAATAAATACCGTTGCCCAGAGCCAAAAGGCTAAACCACTTTTATTCCCAGATTATCAAGAATGAAGCATACAAGGCGTATAAATAACCCTCTAGGTCTAATAAGAATAGGCATCCTAATTAAATTAATCTAGGAAACTAAATAGAATAGGAAACCTCTAGTTCTAATAGAACTCCTAATTAAATCATTCTAGGAAACTAAATAGAAATAGGAAACCTCTAATTCTAATAAGAATTGAAGTCCTAAATAAATCCTACTAGGAAACAAATTAAATTGGGAAACAACATAAAAGGAATAATAAATATTAATTGAACAGCCCGCAACCAGCCCACGAAGGTGGGCTCAAGCCCATCCCGCCTTCGGTAAACCCACGGGGGGCTTCTGCCCCTCTTCTTCCAAGCCCAGATTCTGCTTCATATCACAAACAGAGACGGTGGAGGCAGAAGAGAGATTGTTGAAAGCGTTTTCATCCGCGCAAGGCATCGCAGATCTCAGGTGTGTTGCAGCGGAAGAGAACCCAGCTTATTTCATTTATTTTATATTAAAGGGCATTTCAGTCCTTCCATGTCTAATAGGTCTCTTTTGAGTCTTTTCTGTCCAGATTCAAAAGTGAATTTATTTTTGTCCTATAAAAGCTGGAGGTATTAATGTAGTAACTAGTAAGTAATGTAACGATTAAAAAGATGAACAACTCTTATACCTCGATAA